GTGAGGGGTGCATAGTACCCCCCCCCCCGTTTACTCTTCAAAATCAGAGGATCTCTTTGCTCTTTTGAGGGTCTTGTTTAGCTATATGCCCGTGTATGTTTGTGCCAGAGGGGTGGGTTGTCAGTTGTTAACGTTGCAGGCTGTACTGTGCGTGTGCAGAGTGTTTGTCCTTAATATTTTGTAGTCCATCGTCGTGGACCGTCCAGCGAGATCGTCAATGTTTTTACCGTCGTCTCTCATCTGTGTTTATGAAGCGTTTGTTGTTCCAAATGTTAAACGCAAACTTTTGCTCCAGCGAACGCTGAGGGCTGAACAGAAACACTACAGATCGATTAAACACTTGACTTGCTACGGATTTCTGCAAGAAGACTCTTCTCAGCTGACCTCAAAAAGTCAAGGTGCTTCACATTAACTTGTACTGTTCATGCCATGTCTGGTGGAGATGTGATGGAGGTTTATGTGGAGACGATATGTGCAAGTGCAGTAAAAAAAAAAAAAAAAAAGCAACACAAGTCAGATGAGAAACTGGAGATGGTGACAAGGAAAGAGCTCTGCAGAACAGGAGCGGGTGTTCCTCAACCCTGACATGGTTATTTGATTGGACAAAGACTGTATATAAAAGATGTTCCACAATACAATGACATCACCCATTTGTTTGGAGATTCCTGTTTTGAAGGACTAACTTTAGGATTTAGCTGAGTTTTTTCTCTTTTTAAACACATTTGAAACGGAGGACACAGCTGATCAGTTAACATTAGTTAGCATCTTCGATCAGCGGATTGCATCTGTTTTATACTGTGACATCAACTGGATGCTAATTTTAGCCTGTGAAAATCAGGCTTAAAACAAACTGCACTTACTGCAAAAATCAAACAGAACAGCTGACTCATTAGTTGTCCGACTAGCACTGGTTTAGTATGCTAGAGAAAGTGAAGGGTGGAACAGAGGGCACTGCACATCCCAGTGTATCCCCTGCCTGACCGTCTCCTTTTGTTATAAATGGGACCATGTTTTACTAAATTAACACCATGGAGTATTAAAAAAACCCGACATAAAAACAACTTGATCCTAGCTACTGATACCATGATCTCATTTGGAAGATGCATTAGAAATCAAGTGAGATTTAGGATTACTTTTTCTTTTAGAATTCCATAAGACTTGTTTTGTGTAACCAGAAGTGTTGCTCCCTGCTGGCTATTACAACAAATGCAGGTTTAAGGCACTAACGTACTGGTTTCACTTTCAGAGGGATCCATCCATCCTTAAAGCACATGGTAAGGGGTTGAGGAACACCCACTGTTCTACAGAGTACCTAACTTTTACTTTAGTTTTGGGTGGTTGCATTCCAAATTTAATGAAAAAGTCGCTTTTAATGAACACACTTTATTTTTCTAAAGAATTTTCTCAAGAACTCATGCATCCAGAGATGCAGGTTGACATTAAATTGAATATTATAAATGAATGTCTCCACTTCCTGTCTGTGGAGCGCAGATTTTTAGGGTTGCAAACTAGCACAGCCCCGCCCCTTTACCTCCATAATGAGGATTCAGTATCCAATCATGGCTTTTTGTTTTTTCAGTTTGTGATTTCAGCATCAGCCACATCAAAAGAGCTGGGGTGATTATATTGTGCTCTGAAAGACCAGAATACCTCATCCCAGTGTTTTTCATTGAGTACAGAATGAGTCCACCCTGGAAGCAACCAAATGAAACTTTGTCAAACTCAAAAAAGGAAAAATATTTAGTCAATAAGCTATGTTTTTGCTATAACTATACATATAGGAAGATTAAATGAAACAAATCAGTATCAGTTAAAAAAACAAACATTGGTCACACTTTTTATTTTGTACTTTGCCTTTTTTTAAAAAAAGTATCCTTTTATATGGAATTGCTGTTTTGAGTGGAGTTTGTTCTTAAATTATAATTTCGAAAAATGGGTAAATAAAGTAGATAGAATTTGTTCTACATGGCAGTGTTAAAAACAGAAGTTATGACATAATCCACAATGATATGAACTGTCTAAATGATGACGTTGAGGACTGGGCTTTGCATAAAAGCAGCCTTGACCTTTAAGTGCCAAAAGCGGCTACACACCACATCATCTTCAAAGAGACAACAAATAGGTCATGTAATGCTATGTCACAAAGAGTGAAAATGCCAAATTCATTCATTCGCAGTAGCTGTCTGGTACAGCTCTCGCACTGCCGTTACTTTTTTGTTAATCAAAAAAAAAAAGTAATACCTTTAAAATAGCTGATGAAAACTAAGTGGACGATGACACAACATGCCAGATGTTACTAGAATGTAAATGTTGCATTTGGTTGCATTAACAATAAGCCATTGTTGCCTTTTGGGAAGAAACTTTGTTTCCATACAAAGCAAACTATGGCTGACTCACTTGACAGTGAAATAGCAGAAGTGTTTTGTACTGAGCAGCAGGTGACACCTGTGACGATCTCTGACTGGGTACGCTTTCTTGAACCTTCTGTGGCAAGAGTTGTCTCCCATTTAAGGTCTCACCCAGCTGCCTTACCAATGAAGACATTACTGCAAAGCACGGTCGCGCTCGTCTGTTCCAACTCCTGTATTTGAGAAATGATTAAAATAGTTTGTTGTGAGGCTGTGGTATACAGGGCTAGTTTTTTGGAAATTCGGACAGGTAGGAATGTCAGCGGAATGGCAAAGTGGAACATCTTCAAATCCCAGAACAGACCAATGGCTGCTGAGTTTGCTGAAAAAGCCGATCAATCGTGACTCCCAGACCCTGTTTGACCACATATCTAAAGAGCTAATCGATGTCATTCCTCTTTAAGATGACTGCCGTTAGTCCAATGTTGTTTTTCTGGGATGGACATCACTGCAGGTCAGGGGCCATTCCTGACAGTCAGCAATGACTCTGTTGCATCAGCCACAAGCTGACTTTTGTTTTCTGAAACTCATATAGAAAGTTCAATGTGTATTAAAAATGAAGAATATACTGTAACTGTACATGCGTTCCTATTTTTGTGAAGAGGAAATATTTCCCAATGACCTGAGCAGAGTAAATAAAGTTTCTGACTCTTTGAATCAGACTGATTATTCCTAACAACAAACGAGTGACTTTATATGAATGCAAACATGTGGTCTTTGACAGCTTTTATTCGAAGTTGGATGAAACATTTCAAATCAGTTGTGTGCAAATGAGAAGCAACATTTCATCCATATTCATGTATTTACAGATGCACTGGCACTTAGATGCACTTCAGAGGCAAGGTTAAGAACTCAATTAGTGGAAAGAAAAGGAGAGGGTGGTGAGCACACAGATCAAAGAGGGCACACTCTGTTACATATACTCTACATGCTTTAAAGTCTGGGAATGTTATGATCTAAACAATACAAACTTGATTTACTACTGAGGAACGCAAGTCAGAGCATAGCTGCACCAAACTGATGGACTGTTTACTTTGGACTTGATGTTTGTCAGGACAAAAAAAAAAAATAGCTAAGTGCATCTCATTTCCTATCAGTCAACCATCAGTGCACACTGCACAGAGCAGTACTCATCTGATGCCCCTCAACTTTCTGGAGTGGATTCCCTTCAAATCAGTTCCCAACAGAACTGACCAAAGAAGGAACTACTTCTGCAAGGCAGTCAGTGAGAAGTCTTTGCCTTGTTGTCTAACAGTAGGAGCATTAACAGTGGACAGGGTAAGGCGGCCCACTGAGATGCAACATGGGATTTTATACTTAAAATGCACCTCTGTAATACCTGTTCAATGACCCTGCGCTGCCATCGAGCAGGCTACGTTATCCTCTCCCTCTACAAACAAAACTCTTTATCAGAATAGCAAAAACAAACCAAACAAAAAAAATACCCCAATGTGGGAATCATCACTATCACAAGCCTCTTTTCACAGTTTGTTTGAAGTAACATTGAACTGTAGATGACAACGATGGAAAGCGTGGCATTCCACGGTGCAAAGAGGGAAAGGGGTGGGAAAGGAAGGACTTTTTCCAGAAAAAAAATCACTAGCGTGTATTTTTTCCCCCCATTGGCATCAAGGACTTGTGATCTTGAGGCAAAAAACAATAAAAAGAAAACCTAATAATATTATGCAAGTGTCCAAATTCAGTTCGTTTAGAGTCTATTGTAGAAAAAGAGGAAAAACCGATATATTGAAGATCAGCAAAAGCAAGTTCTTGGTTCTCAATTCTTCTCATCCTTCACCTCCTTCTTCTCAGTCTCCTTTTTCTCCTCTTCCTTCTTTTCCACTGATGCCTTGTCTTTCACAGAGAGTTCCTCCAACTTCTCTGCCACCTTGTTCGCACTATCGCTGTTGCCTGTGAAAAGCAAACAGGGATAAGTGCCATTAGCTAAGAAGCAATGCTGCATTCTACAGCTTTGACTGTTGTGTTGTAGAAATATTACCTAAAACAAAATAATCAAAAATAAGGATAACCCAATAAAACAACTGAAATTGAAACGCTGACTGACATTTAAGGGGTTAGTCTGGAAAATGATCCAATATTCATCTGTAAGAGGCACATGCATGTAAACCCAGAGGTCAAATAACAACCAGATGTTTACAGTCACCAGGATGACAATCAGGTGTGAGCATGTGCAGAAATGTATCAAGACTGATACAATGGTTTGAATGAACAATGTTTTGTTGATGAATTGGATTTTTTTTTTTAATCTTTAAACAAGAAGCATTCTGTTTGGAGAACTTCAGAAGCTCATCCCATATTAGTGAGACGTGATGGTGCTATGATTGAGCCAGAAATCAGTCCACCCACCCTGAAAACCAGCAAATAAATAAAGATACATACATGAACTGACACTTAACAAAAAAGAAAATGGGCTTTGCAGCAAGACAGTGACCCTCAGCATACACATCTTGTCGAAGAAGAATTAAATTCATGGTTTTGAAAGGTGCAGAAGTACAGTAGGTTTACTCAACACACTCTACAACAGTCTAACCTTTCTATGACACGAACACCATGGGCCTGTGAAAACTGAATTGTAATGTAGCAGAACATACCGACACCAGTCTTTTAGAAAACTAGTAAAGTGTTACATTCTGCGTGTTCATGTAGCAGACAGAAAAAGTCCCCAGCTGAAGTTGGCAGCAGAGAACAGAGTGTGTCTGCATGCTCACAGCCCCTATCCTCATGTCACATTGCCCTCAGTTTGAATTCAGTCTTAGGTCAACACAAGTCATTTTAACCTTAGCAAAATGTTGCATTCAGGGTTCTGAAAGTACTTGCTACTGACATGTTTCCAAGTAAAATTACTGACAATTCCTATCTAATGTTGATGTGGTCTACATTATGGACTCGTTTATGTTGACAAAACTGTTTTACTTCACTTGCTTCTCAGAAAATTCACATATGCGATATCTAGGGGGGGAAAAAAACCTAAAAGTTTAAGCTTCATGTACCTGTTTGCTCTAGATGTTTTCTGACTTCCTCCTTGCACTCGTCAAACTTCACCTTGAACTTCTGAGCATCTGCAACAGAACATAATGTAACATAATTTAAAATCCAAGTTAAAGAGCTCTGGAGAATTAATGTGTAATGTTGAAATGGGTACCTAAATACTTACTTTCAGCATTTAAAAAGCGGATTGCCAGAAGTTCAGGTTTGGGGCATTCATCTGCATAATCAGCTAGTGTGTTCCACACCCATGCTCTGTCACTGCCAGCATTGGGCTTCAGCTCCATCATTGGTAAAACTGTGGTTAACAAGAACACATAAAGTGCAGGTATGAGCACAGTCACTTAAATAGATTTTTTTTTTTTTTTATATCTAGTAGTTTCATTGGGAATTAAACACACAGATGCACCATTTCTTATCTCCACAAATGAGTGGAGGGAGGAGTAACACACACATTTTTCCCAATCAAACCAACACACAAAAAAATATCACAGTCTGGATAATATCACAACCGGATGAGATTACAAGCCCAGTATCTCTAACACCCACCCCTCAACCTCTCGTTTGCTCATCTATAGTTCTGTTGTTGCCACTAATACCAGGGATTTGACTCCTTTAAAGATCGTGGGGAAGGGTGACGGGGGGAATCACATGGGGCCTATGGTCTTTTTGTACTTACATGTACATCAGAAAATGTTTGCAATAAAAACAAGCAAAAAAATACTTGGACGCCCAGTCAGCGAGTACACCTTGGCTTTAAATAACACATCTTCACACCACTCTACCTGTACCGCCACTCACCCATATTGTTTAGGTTACATATGGCCAATTGTTGTCATGACATGAATAGCAATGAAATCAGATTTGACTCACTGTGATGGTTGGCACAGATCTTTAGAGTTCGATCTCTCCTCATCAGGAGGCGGATTGTGCCCTTCTCTTTGTGTTTCAGCAGCTTGACGTCTCCAGTTCCTCTCTCCTTCCACTCCGGCGGGTCGTTTTCAGAGGCAAAACGATATAGTTTGGCCCGCCTATGAAAACAGCAGAACACCTCAGTATTAGGAAACTGATTAATGTGTCTCTGTTAATGTGTTCACATGGTAAGCAACTTACATTTTAAACAGCTCCTCCTCATCCTCCTCTAATGTTTTCACATCCTGCTCAGGAAGAGACACGATGGGCTCAAAGTGGGGATCATGATTAGGGTCTTCTGCACCATCTGCAGTAGTATCATGGTCTTCCTGGTCCTAAGAGGAAAAGTACATTAAATTAACTCAATTCCCCCCGGCCCCCTAAAGTTGAAGCTTCATTTTACTTTAGTATTGTCATCAAATATTTATCCAACTTTATTTTTTCCTAAGACAACTCGTTGTGAACTTGCCTAGCTAGAAACGCAGGCCTTTCACTAGCCGGCTAGCCCGGAGCTAACAATCCGACTTTCTCTTTTTTTTTTTGCACCTCTGCAGTTGTGCTAAGCAAAACGCTTAGCACAACTGCAGTATTTTTTCAGTAACTTGTGTGATTTTCGAGCAGTCTATTTAATATAACACCGTCACTACTAACAGACAGTAAACAGCGCCCTGATATAGAGCTAACACTAGCTAACTAATGTTAGCAAGTATTGTGCTTGGCAGACAAAGGCAAGCAACCTAGCTAACCTCGTTGCCCTGAGCTAGTGAGAAGTATACTAATTGAAAAATACCCAGTTTAAAAAACTGACCGATGTGATCGTGTAGTAGAAGCACTAATGCTCTTGCGTACATCACCTCTCTATGCTAATGTTCACAGTATGAAGCTAATGTTAACACGTTTGCTGGCTGCACACTTTGAATTATGGGCTCGTGAACTGTAACGGAAGTGTTAAGAGTGGAAAATTTTACAACGGTTAACACTGTGCACTTTTACAAGTCTATTGGCGTTCCGTTACCTTTTACATCACTGAAAAAATATCAATTAGTGTTTCATAGCATCACCAAAGACAAGATCATTGTCGGCATTTCTTGCACACGGCTTCCTTTCGAAACTTTGACAAATTATGACACATGAAAAACAATGTTTGTCACAAAATTGTTATTTCCCAGCAATCATAAAGCATTACACGTCCTAGAATGATAGACCTCACCTTTGGGTCTGCCATATTATTGTAGATGTTTGTAGATTATGAGAGTAGTTTGAGAGATTCAAATCCCAAACTGGCCGCCGTTTCCCTTCAGCTTCTCTCACTTCCTGCTACAGCTTTCGCGCGCCGAATTCTCTACGCATGTCCGTGCTCAGGCTGTCACAGCACGCGCACCGCCTCTCTCCTCTCAGGGATACCCCTCTTCACAAAAATGTTTTTACTGGATATTACTGTCAATAGAAAAACGTGACAACTTGTATCGAAAGAAAAACAAATTAACTAATAAACAAACAAACCAAAAAAACTTCTGGTTCGATAATTGTCAGATCATTTTATAAATATTAGTCATAATATTAACTAAGTATCATCTGTGATACAATAATTCAATCTATGTGCAAAAATTATACCTCCATGATATATGAAGCCACTAAGGCTTCCATAGGATTATGTGTGTGTGTGTGTGTGTATATATATATA